GAGAATGCGATTACCAAAAAAAAAAAAAAAAAAAAGAAAACAACACAATCATTAGAATGGTGTAACCATAAATTTGTGGTCAACACTGCCCAACACCCCTTCTGTGTGTATCCTTAACTTCAGCTATTCCAAACGTTAACCTTGCCTCAAACTCTTCTCTTCCCACACAGATGGCAATGCCTTTTACTTCACTGGCAAGATACACATTTCCACTTTCAAACCTTTCTCCCATCACCCACCTGTGGAAAAGGCGTCACCATCCCCAGGCTAATTCTTTCCCCTTTCGTGCCTCAGAGCTCCTGTTTCCCTTTTCTATCCATTTTTCCCTGAATTCCACATGCCTTTTTTGTTCTGTGACTTGTATTCCTCTACAGCCATCTTTCTTCACATTGACTTTGGCTCTGTGCTAAATTTTCAAAACTGCTCTAGTTAATATACTGCTGAAGTAACTTTTTTTTTTTTTTTTTTTGCCTGTTTGAGACAGTCTCGCTATGCAGTTCAAGCCGGCCTCGAGCTCACTTTGTAGCCCAGGCTGGCCTCGAACTCGCAGCAATCCTGTCTCAGCCGCCCAAGTACTGGGGTTACAGGTGTGTGCCACCACGCCCAGCTAAATTAATTTTCCTGTCTTTGACGACTCTGCAGTATCTAAGGCGTTTCTCGTTGAAAAGCCCTTGGCACCTTTGACGTCACTTATAATTTTTCTTTCTGCCTTATGAACCGTTCTATCAGTTTTTCTTCTGCTCAAGGTTCTCCACAATATATTCCTTATAGTTCTGTTCTTTTCATCGGATGTCACTTCCTTACATCTTTTGTTCCAGTCATACTACAAAGTTTCAACCTTCTGTAGTATGTAGCTCTTCTCTTAGACATTAATTCACAGATCCCTAGATCTTTCCAGAGCATCGTCATGCCTTATCTGAACTGGTGTTAACCCTCTGCGTTTAGGCTGCAACCTCTTAAGATCCCACCTGTCCCACTCCATAGCTATGTGGACACTTACAGGTCTCGGGGATGGCACCCAACACACAGGCTTTCGTTAAATTTCAAATACCTGGCATATGGGAGACCCTCAGTAAATGTGTGTTGTTCCTCACATCTGCATTGCTCCCTGTGGCTAGGTTAGGAAATTACGTGAATTGAATTCCAATACTTAGGATGCTGGGGAGAATGCGATTACCAAAAAAAAAAAAAAAAAAAAGGAACTGAGGCCCGGCGTGGTGGCGCACTTCTGTAGTCTCAGTAGTAGGGAGGCTGAGACAGGAGGAACGCCGCGAGTTCGAGGCGTTATATAGTACCTTCGAGGCCAATCTGAACTGCATAGCGACACCCTCTCTCAAAGAGAGGAGTAACTGGACTGAATCTGGTAACCTGTATAATGCCTAATTTGCATTTAACTTCATATATTAGGCCTTGGGTCCTCTCCCTCTACAAAGCATGTGCTGGCTCAGGAGCGTCTCACCGATGCCTCCCTCCAAATACTTGCCACCTTCCCTCAGAAACCGTGGAAGGTTCCTATGCTTAGGACTGGAGGTCTGCGCCCAGGAAAGCATGCGCGCACGCGCACTTCCTACCTCGTCGTCATTCTGGGCTCCATGAGTAGCTGCCCCAAGATATGCCTGTTTCGATGTGGAACGCCATTGCTTCCCACCCGCTCTCTAATCACATCTTTTCCCATATCCTTTCTCCTTCTGGACTAAATAAAATAGAATAACCAGCTAGCTTCCACAAAGATATCAAAACACTTGAATATCTGGGTCCGGCGCAGAAAAGGGCGGCCTGACCTTAGAACGGAGACGGGGTCTTGCAGTGGGTCCTTCCGGGGTGACATTCAGCGGGCCGTTGGAGCGACCGCTCTTCCACCCCAGGACCATGGCCCAGTTTGTCCGTAACCTCGCGGAGAAGGCCCCGGCGCTGGTGAACGGTGAGCACCGTGGGACTGGCGAGGCGGTACACGGGCTACGGGAGGCTGGCGGGGGTCCGAGGACGTAGCAGGCTTCGGTACTCGAAGGAACAGTCGGGTCTGCACCCCCTGGAGGTGTGGAGAACAGGAGGCTGGTTGAAGACCTTCTGGCCCTCCTCTTGTCTGGTCTGCGCGTCGGGGTCTCTTTACAACTTAGAAGTTGCGGAATTATAGCCCGGAGTTGCCGGGCGGCTGTCGCCATGACGCCCACTTAGAGCTCCAAAGATCAGGGCAGAAAGTACCAGGTGGTATGGTTCCTGGTGGACAATTTGAAAGTCAACAAATGTTTAAGGATACGTGCGCTTTGAACGTTGGCTTTGCTTTTTATCCTGGCCAGATCCTGACAATCTTCGTTTAAATCCGAGGGAAAGTTTAGGTGGAAGTGGACGTTATGGATCAGTATTCCAGTCCTCTAGTAAGCATGAAAAGATGTTCGTGAGCCCGAAATGGTAGTGTACGCCTGTAAATCCCAGCACCCAGGAAGCAGAGACAGGAGGATCTCCGCGAGTGCGAGACCAGCCTGGGCTGTAGAGTGAGTTCAAGGCCAACCTGAACTGTATAGCGAGACCCTGTGTCAAGAAAACTACTCATACAAACTGGAATCTTTGTTAGTATAGCTTAGCATACGCGGATTTTTTTTTCCAGTTTGAGAACTCTTACCCATTGGTACTGTATTTCAGAGCAGCCCTGAATAGTGACAGGCCTGAATAGTAATCTGTTCTGTCGCTAAATATCTCATTCGTTTCTAAATAGTAAGTTACTAATTTTATTCCAGAAGCAAGATAAATTGATGTAAGCTTTTTTTTCACTAGATAGGGTTTTGTGATTGGTATGTCGGTTGCTTGGTTGGTTCAGATTGGATTATGAATAGAAAGCAAAATTTCAAAAAATACATGTAATGTTTTTGAGCAGATTTTGCTGTATTTGGTATTAATTCCCTCCTCCCTTTACTCCATCATCAGGCAAACAGTAAAATATTGAAGACCTTTCAACGTCATATACTGTTGACACTTTTCCTCTTACAGAAGGTCAGATCTCTCAACCTTCTCACCAGATCTGGTAGTGAGACAGTTTACCCAGTATCTCACTACAGTCTCGTAGACAGACTGTTTATACAGTCCCACAAGGGATCTCTCATGTGAAACTTTTACTTTACTAAGATTATCGAATTAAGGAGAAGGCTTTAGTCCTTGGATGTTGGATGATTTGAGCCACAGTTTTTTAATATTTCAAGAGGGTTTTTGTCTTACCGTAGTTTTCATATCTTCTAAGTTGGTGTCGAACCTATGGCACATGTACCAAAGCAGGCTGTTTGTATCACTGAAAGCTCTAAAAGGTTTGCCATCAGTGTTCTAGTTGGTGCATGTTGGGGAACTGAAAACTAGCTTGTGATAAAATCCAAAAAGAAAAATAATGTCAAAATAAATTTTTGTTACCCTTCCAGAAGTACTCAGAAAAGAAGACTCAGATGGGACCAATGTTAAAGCAGAAACATATTTTCCTTTATATCATAGGCCTGTGTGTTAAATATGAATGTTAAATTTTTGATAAATTACCAATTATGTCTCTTCATTCACTGGAGGACAAAGAAGCTTATAGAAACAAGTAATTTTATCACATTTCCCAGGAAAGATTATGACGGAGTCTGATTTTCCCCCTTACCTAAACTGTACAATTTACTTGAATTTCACCAATTTTTCCTTTTATCACTTTCAATCCCAGGATACAAAGCAAGACATCACATTACATTTAAGTTTACATATCTCTCAGTCTCCTCTGATTTATGATAATTTCTATTCTTTATCTTTCATCTAGATATTGTGAAGAGTATGCCTCAGTCTGGGTTTATCTAGTGTTTCTCTCATGATTAGTCTGGAACAGTAGATTTGAGAAAGTCCCACAGAGATGAGGCACCCTAATGGCATATCAGGAGGTATAGGGTATCCATGTAGTATCACTGATGATACAAGTTTCGTTGCTTGGTTAAGATAGTGTTTGATAGGTGCTTCCACTGTAAAAGTATTTATTTTCCCTTTCCAGATCTGTTCTTTAGAAGCAAGTAACTATGTCGAGTCCATAAAGTAGGTTTGCAGCCCAGATGGGAGTGGGTCCATTTCCTGTAGAAGAGAGTTTCTAACTGGGTGTAGTGATGCATATTTGTAATCCCAGCACTTTGGAGGCTGAGGCAGGAAGATCTCAGAGAGTTCATGGCCACCCTAAACTACACATCGAGACCTTGCCTCAAAAAGAAGAAAGGAAGAAGTTTCTGTGTATAATAAATGGAATTCTGTAAGAAAGACTTGTTTCTTCATCTATTTATTCAATCATTTATTACACTGATTCATTTACATTTATTCCAGACTTTGAATAGCAGTGCTCTGTTCTTCATTGCTCAGATTGTTACAGACTTGACCATAAGGAATGGTTTTAGGTTGACAGTCCGTCCCTTTGACATGACCCATTACTTTCTGGTACAATATGCAGATTCATATTTTCTCTGCCCAGCTAAAGCAGTCCTTTTCTCGAAGAGACTAGTTCCTTTTACTGGACAGTGGAAGTTAGAAACTAAAATCTAGGTGCTGGATTTGCTCTCTGCTACTAGAGTATCATTGCTTCTTGGTCCTCTCCGTGGACAAAGGGATACAGATACGTATTGAGGGTGGTGCACAAACATACTAAACCATGTGTATACATGATTGTTTCTCAGTGTATTCATCTGTATAAATGTTAAAATAAGCCTGAGTTCATATGAACGTCTCCAACTGTAGTCCAGTTTCATTCTTTTTTTTTTGGTGCTGGCTGGAGCTAAACACAATGTACTAGTGAGATACAGTGAGAGCCCCAAATAACCTCTAAATGGGTTTTCTTTTTATATGGAGATGTGGTCTCACTGTGTTGCCTAGGTTGACCCTGAACTTCTTGACTCAGCCTCCAGTTAGCTAGGACTACACACACACCACCCATAGCTGCTCTTGCTGGTTTCTTTTTTTTTTTTTTTTTTTTTTTTTTTTTTCTCTCCCTGGCTTTG